CTCTGATGGCTTGCCCAGCCTGCTTCTTTATAGCATCCAGGACCACCTGCCCAGGGTTGCACCACTCTCGGTGGACTAGGCCCTACCACACCAATAATTAACCATGAAAATTCCCTACAGACTTGTCTACAGGCAATCTGATGGAGGTGTTTTCTCAACTAAGTGTCCCCCTTCCCAAACATGTCTAGGTTTGTGTCAAGTTGACAAAACCGACCAGTATAATTGACCTGCTGTCAAGTGGACACACAAATACATCATTTAACCATAGCATTTCCTTTCTTGTTAATCCCCAGGATCTCACACTATAAGTATAGCATAACTTTATAAGTTCCAATCTTAAAATTTTTCAATACTCAAAAGATTTCAATACTCTAAAAGCCCAAGTTTTCTTTCAAACTCTAACATCTCTTTATTTTTAAGATTATAACTCAATCACAACATTTCTCCCTTCCCTTTCCTCCTCCTAAGCCCCTCCATATACCCTTCCCTGTTTTCATTCAAATTAGTGGCCTCTTTTTTCATTAATTGTTTTTGTATACAAATATGTATATACATATATATTCTTAAATCTAACTGGTTCAGTCTGTATAGTGTTACTTGTATGTATATTTTCAGGGTTTATCCTGTGGCACTGAACAACCAGTAACCTCTTCCCCCTAAACATCTCTTTAGAAGTTCAAAGTCTCTCAACTGTAGGCTCCTGTAAAATAAAAAAAATAAGTTAAATACTTACTTCAAGAAAGAAGAATCAGGGTACCATCATCATAATCAAATCAGAGAAAGGCAAACTTCAGTAGTATAAAATAGTTTAGTGCCCAACATCTGGGACTCACTCATAATCTTCTGGCCTCCAAAGAGCCTGAGCAGCCCCACTTCTCTGGCTCTGCCATGCACAACACATGAAACCTGTCTCACAGGCTCAAATAGATTCCACCCCACAGCTGCTGCTATCCTTGTCAGTAATCTCACGCTACTGGTATCTTCAATATACTGGAATCTCTACTGTGAGGCTGTACCTTCACCCAGGAACTCCAGTCCTACCTTACAGTACAAGCATTAGCCACTCTTCAAGGCTCCTGCAAATATTCAAAACCAGTATAACCTGGGTGGCTCTTACCCATTACCATCTTCAGTTGTCAGCATTAATATGCAGCCTTGGCTCCCTCTGGTCCACAGCTTCCCTGTGCTGTTCCCAAGGAAACACTTCTCAGGTGCTTATTCCTTGATGATACTGGTCTTTTCTTAGCTGCAGCTGATTTCTAGGCTCCAGCTTTTGATGGCCAGCATTGATTGTCCCAGCAAAGCAGAAGTTCCCTTTAGTGTTTCTGGCCTCTTGTTAATCACAGCTGATATTTCAGGCCCAGCTGAGCAGAGCCATGGATTCTTAATTCAAAATCGCACATGAATCATCTTTGCTTCCCTATGAAATTTTACAAGCCAGGTCTCCATCATCTGCATCTCCTTTGGCATCCCTATCTTTCAAGCTCCCACAACAATGCATTAAGCTCTAAACACTCAATGGCTTCTCAAACCCAAAGTTCCAAAGTCTTCTATAAATCCTTCGAAAACAGTAGGTCTGTCACAGCATTGTAGCTGGTACCAATTTCTGCATTAGTTAGGTGCCTATTGCTACGACAAAGACCGTAACCTAAAGCAAATTGGTAAGGAAAGGATTTCTTTCATTTTTACAGTTGTGATTCATCAAGAGGGAAAGACGAGAAGAACTCCAGGCAGGAATCAAAGCAGAGACCACAAAGAAGCACTGCTTACTAGCTTGGTCCTTGTGGTTTTGCTCAGCCTCTTTCTTATACAACCCAGGACTATCTGCCTAGGACCACTGCCCCCTCCACATTAATCAATCAAAAAAAATTTCCCATAGACGGTGTGAATTGACAATCTGACAGAGGCCTTTTTATCAATGAAGATTCTTTCTTCACAGATGTGTCTGTGTGTCAAGTTGACAAAATAGCAAGCAGCACTCTTCCTTTGCCACCTTTCCCGCTGGCCATAATATGTGTAGTTTTGCCATTTTATATATTTCAGTGATGATATGCCATTTGACACAGGTTCAGAACAAAGGGGCCAATTGATCAGGGACTAAAACCTCTGAAACTGTGAGCTTACACAAACTTCTCTTCTTCATAGAGCACCCCAGGCCTTTCCTAGCTGCAATAGAAAGATGACTTACACACCTTCCCACAACTCATGTCCTAAATAGGTGTTTGAGAACTACTTTCTCACCAACCCAGTCTCATTCCACTGTCTCTGCTTTTCTCTGTGTGTTGGGGGGAGGCACATCACAGGTAAGGAAAATGAGACTCCCATAAGTCAATAAGCTAACTATGGTAGAGCCTATGGGCTGTATGAGTGAGAATTACAGAATTGGTCTGATGACATGGTTACAGCCTGTGCTCCCCAAACCTGTCCTTCTACAAGAAGATAGCCAAGGTGAGGTGTGTAATTCGGTTGGGAAGTCCACTCTTTCTCCACATGGTACTACTATTACTCTGAGAACACTCTCCATTAGCCACTCATGTCTAGGACATCTCTCTGGGACATCCTCATGGACCCTTTAGAAAGACCTATCTCCACAAAGAGAAGTCAACTAGAAGCAATTATCCTGGCCAAAGGTTGTGGCCAATGCTCATAATCTTAGTCCTGGAAAAGCTAAGGTAGGAAGATTGCTAAGAGCTCAAGGCCAGCTTCCACTATGCAGTGAGACACTGAAAAATAATTCCAATAATAATTAAAATAATAATAACCATGATAACTAGAAGCCATTATCTTGGAATTTCACTATAGTCATTACTGCACTCTTGTCCTTGATCAAACCTGAGAACTTCTCAACAAATCCACCAGACGATTGCTGTCTGCTTGCTTCTGCCTATGTAGACCTGATCAGAGTCTATCCTAGCGTGTACCAGAGAAGTCTGAGACCTTTGCATGCAGTGCGTGGCGTTTCTAAGCTGGACTAGGTTCGGACAGAGAGTGCCAGGCCTAGGGCCCAGAAAGGGCGTCTGGGCAGGCACTGACCCAGCAGTTGGGCGACCACTGCAGGCGCCTCCCTCTCTTTGGCGGTGCCAGCACAAGGCCCCAGCCCCAGCGGGCTCTGCTCCCAGTCGCCTGCCACCGGCCAGCCAGGCACACGCCTGGGGCGGGATGAAGGCTGCGCCAAGGCCTCTGTGGCCGGGCCGGACAAGGAGGAAAGACTTTCCGTTTGCCCAAACTCAGTCACCCTCCATTCTGCTGCGATGCACACATCTTCCTTTTCCAAATGATTTGGAATATCCTGGAGCACTCTCCTTTCCCCAGCCAACCCAGAAAGCATCTTCTGAGGATTGGCAGGTGTTACAGAGGGCCAGAATTAGCTAACCCCAAGAACTCCGCGGTATACACTCCCTGTACCACTGACCACCTGCGCCCCCTGACACACCATTTTTTAAACTGAGGGGGAATCTCACTATATAGTTCAAGCTAGCCTCCAACTTATGATTCTCCTGCCTCAGCTTCTTAGAGAACTGGTAAGCACCAGTTCATGTCTTTATCCTTTCCACACTTGGAGAGCTGTGTCCAGCGCACCCTTTTCTTGAAGCAGGATAGGATAGCAGTGCTCCCTCCACCCCCAAACAACCTTACAGGGCTGCAGAACTTATCTAGCACCAAGGCTAGTGAGAGGACTCCAGGGACTAGAACTCAAGTTCTCATACAGAGGCCAGTTCTTTACTCACGGTCTCGCCCTTTTCATCTTTCTAAACCTATTTGCAAATCTGCTTTATTTTTTAGGGCCACCAAATAATCTTCCAAAATGACTGTAGAGAGAAGACAAGGGGGGAAAAACAGAACCCCAGTCTTGCCACCTCAATGAGGTCCCTTTGCTACTTTTTCCTGCCTAATTCCTTCCGTGCATTTTTCTCCCAACTCCTCGGTAGACCCCAAAGACACTCTCTCCACCCAGACTTCCCACCTAGGCACCCCAAATCCCGGAGCCATTTGCCCTTTTTAAGAAGAAGAAGAAGAAGGCCCCCATTTCTAGAGCCACCCCCTGCC